CACAACGCGAGTTATGCTCGATTTTTTGCCAATTTTTGACACACTACGCCAAAAAGGTTGCCCATCACTGCCTTAAGTGATGGAGTACTTGAAGCAAAACCAGCAATTCAATATTATAAAGAATTAAATAAATAAAATAAAGGTTAGCATTAGTTTCATATCAAGATAAAATAAAGTTTTGCAATGTACAATTTTGCAAATGAAACAGGCCTAATGTTTCCTAAATGTAAAATTGATCAACACTTAACATTGAAATTAATTCATCAAAATATATTGTTTTGACTATTGGGCCCCAGAAAAAATGTTAAAAATGGCCAGACAACAGAATTTTACTTTTGATATTTTAAGTAACGTGAAGATTCTTGAACTAATATGATTTAGTCTTATCCAGCCATTGATTTGAAATCATGACAATTTTATTTTCAGTGTTTGTCAGTTGTCATAGCTGATCTTACCTTTGAGAAAAAGTCCAGGTTGCTTTCTTCAGTTGATCAAACCAGATATATCCACCTTAGGGCTGTGCATGTCTCTTTTGACAAATACAGAGGTGTTGCAATTTATCCAAGTGAAGAACACCTCATGATGCATTTTGCATCATAAAAATGCACCATGGAACACAGAACAAATTTAGAGTTCATCAGAAAGCAAGGAATTAGGCAGTGTTTGCAGGCAATGTCTTCCAAACCATGGATGATGGAGAGGATCTAGAAAAAAAGAATATAACAGATTGGTTTTTCCCAGGAAAGAAAATAATAAGGGATAGGAAAAAAAAACTTTAAGAATCTTGTAAAGATGTTAAACCAGCTTTAATCATTTCAATATTCAGGGAAATGAAGTCTTATTTTTCTGAATTGGTTCAGGCAGGTGGAACAGCAGATATATACTTACTAATCTTTTAAAGCCAGTTTCTTCCTCTGCCAAATCAATATTTTTATATGCATGAGGCTTTAATAAATGCTCTTTTATCCAAATACTAAATCTTGCTATTTCATTCCACCATTCCTGATTCTAAAATTAAATGGTTGTTTCCAGTCATTCATGATTGAACTTATGTTTACACTACATGCTTGGGGAAAAAAACCAAGAATATAAACTTTGTTGAATTGCCTGCAAGATTTTTACTGTATGTACCTTTTTATTTTGTTCCTTTAGATTTTTCTTTTTTCTGTTATTATTTTAAAAGCAATAAAATTAAATAATAAGTACATACATTTTGTTATCTCTCCTAGATCAAAGTTTAATCTTTATACATCTTTAAATGATGCTACAATATTTCATAACAATTCTATAATATAATTAACTAGGCACAACATATATATGAACTTATGAATTCATAGAAATATATGTTTGAGACTTTCAGTAGCTATGTTAGCTTATCTGTATTATTTTAAACTATTGTTTTTACTATATATTTTTCTATTTTTAACTGTTACCTTCTCAGAATTATGCATATATAATAAGCGGCCAAATAAATTAAATAAATTAAATCTGCTCTGAGAATTTAGTTTTTAAAGGCTTCAGACAATAATTCAATAACTCACTATATTTTTCAGTGCTAGATGTTGAATGTGAGACCTTCAACCAAGAGCTTTATGTATCTCATAAAGATTTTTAAACATTTTTTTTAAAAAAATACCAACTTCATAGACTTGATTATATTTAAAATGAAAATGTATATTTAGCAAAGGAACAGTTTACCTGAGATTCAAAGAAATAAGCTCTAATTCTCTCTCATTTGTTTCTGGGGCAGGTGCAGAAGCATAAATTTCCCAGTGAGATCATGAACTCAAATGGAAAATTATATTACACCCGACTCCTATTAGAAGATACATTTTAATTTGTACTTGGGTGCAGTGGAGAAAAATAGAAATTAATCCTGGATTTTATTTTTTTAAAATGGTCTATTGTTGAGATTCTTTTCTATCTTGACTGATTTGGACAGCAAATTAGTAATTTTTCATAATTATTGAAACATATTATTTCTTATTCTTATAGAACAAAAATATTTTCTTCAGAAACAAAGGTGAGATATAACGAGCAATCCACTAGTAAAAATAACCTTGTATAAACACATTTCCAGGATGGAACTGTTCAGGTTCTGAACCATTATGTTTACATTACTGACTATTGTTTTGTTTAGCATAATTCCTTACATGAAATGTTCTTTCACTAACGATGAATGAAAGATATGTACCATATCACTCTCCAAGTCATGCACACTAGCAATCATCACCTTTGTAATTGTACCATTGGACAGCATGTGTAATTGTTCTATTATTCTTTGCTAATAGCAATTTTCCAACAGGCGGAAACCTCAACTATAACGCATAATATACTGGTATATTTAAGCCATTTTGCATGTGATACAACTTTATGAAGCTTTCATATGAATAGCATGCATGTGTGTGTGTGTGTGTGTATACATACATACATACGTACGTACATACGTACGTACGTACGTACGTACGTACAAACAGACACTCTCCCCAGGAATTGGACTTGCTGAAAATACATCTTATAAACATTCCAATAAAAATCTGATTTAAGTTACCAACTTCATAATCTTTTTTGTGTGTGTTTTACATGAAAATACAATGTATATGACACATTCTACATTAATGTTTATGTTAATCTTATTTCAATATAAAAGGCATACAGTAATGAATATTATATTATATTCATAAGGTCTCTTCTTTTTTTCACTGTTCACTGTAGTGCCTGAAAAGTGAAATGTTGACTTCATCTTTACCAAACATTGTTTTTCTATCATATGCACATATTTTCCACTTCCAGCAAATTACCTCTCCTACTTCAGCCTCAGAAGACACAACTATCATTGTCTCTCAGACCCTCAAATGTTTATGCCAAGTTATGAGATGCAAGTTACAACATATCACTGGGAAGGGATTCTGTTAAAATGTGTTTCCATAATATTTCAAGTCTATGGAGTCCCCAAGAGTCAAGCTCTACTCAAAGATTTTTACTTAAGAGTAGGCAATGACACTATGTATTTATCATGCTTCTCTGTTTTGTGGAGCAGTTTAGATTCTTTACAAAACCCTTCCTCTTAACTTAACATTTAGTGGAATCTTCTCTCTTGATTTGATAAAATTGATAACATTTTCAAAATTGATAAAAAAAATACAGTGATAATTTTTGCTCTTAAGAAGATTGCACATTCTAATTACATAATTTTATTTTGTCAAAATAGTCTATACGTATTTTGCGTGTATGTGTGTGTGTGTGTGTATGTATGTATGTATGTATGTATGTTATCTATGTACGTATGTATTTAGTGTCACAACCCCTGGTATGCCCAAATATGGGAGGAAGCCTACTGCTTCCTATCTCTGTCTATTGGCTCATCACAAGAGACCATCCAGACAGAAACCCAATATTTTTACTGTTGCCTTTGTTACATTTGTGTTGCATTTGTGCTGATAAATAAATAAAGGGAGACTAGTATAGATCTATTTCAATCTATTTAGCTCTCATCAGCTAGCCATACCCTTACTGGGATTCGAACCTGGGCTGTATTACATATTAGGCAGTTGTGTTGTAGCAGCAGATTGAAAGTTTCTTGATCAATCTACTTACGAAAGACCAGGACTCGAGACCACGAAGGTGTGAGAGAAACAGGTTTATTGATGCATCGAGTTCAGCGTGTTAGCACACCAAAATCTGAACTGCCTGGGTTACGCCCTGGGCAGTGATTTTATACCTTTAATCAAACTTCGTCAATCAAGAGGTGTTACAATAGGCGTATTCTGCTTAGGACACGGAAGTACATTTTGGAAAAGTACAGAAGCAGAAATGATTCTACAAAGTCTTAATAACAGCATGAGAAAAATGCTGAGACGATTCCTACATTAGTGTGATATTGCTATTTTCAGTTTCTTACACCCATATTCATTTCCTGTGCCATCCTTGTGCAGTAACTTGTGATATGTTCCACTAATATTTGCAATACTTATGAGGAAGTTTGAAGTCAAGTGCATTAGAGCAAAATGTCAAGCTAATATGAAATTTATAGTTTTCAGCATATTAAGGGCCACCCAACCTGGCCACAAGGTTCTCCTCCTTTATCAACTGAGCCAGGGAAATTGGTATGTATTTAGTGTCACAACCCCTGGTATGCCCAAATATGGGAGGAAGCCTACTGCTTCCTATCTCTGTCTATTGGCTTGTCACAAGAGACACAAATACAACACAAATGTAACAAAGGCAACAGTAAAAATATTGGGTTTCTGTCTGGATAGTCTCTTGTGACGAGCCGATATATATATAGTTGATAAATTAGTAATCTGGTTGTAAGGTGAATTTGGCTTCCCCATTAATTTTGCTGGTCAGAAGGTTGCAAAAGATGGTGCACTGGTTAGAGTGGAGTACTGCAGACTTCTTCTGCTGACTTCTGGCTGCCTGCAATTTGGCAGATTGAATCTCACCAGGCTCAAGGTTGAGTCAGCCTTCCACCCTTCCAAGGTGGGTAAAATGAAGACCCAAATTGTTGGGGGAATATGCTGACTCTGCAAAACTGCTTAGAGAGGGCTGTAAAGCACTGTAAAGCGATATATAAATCTAAGTGCTATTCCTATTGCTATCACATGACCTTGGTACACAGTTATGGTCATAACTATGAACCAATTGCCAAACATCTGAATTTTGATCACGTGATCATGGGGATGTTATAAAGATCATAACTGTGAAAAACTGTCATTTTTTTCAGTGCTGTTGTAACTTTGAACGGTCACTAAATGAACTGTTGTAAGCCGAGGACTACCTGTAAAAGATCTGAGAAACCCTAAACTGTAGCTTGCTTGGTTTATGCCTAAATCTAGCTCTGCTAGCATAGCTCTTTCCATTCCAAAAATGTATATCTAAATTCAGAATGAATGTATTACTTAGGGTTAATAAACGATTGACCATGATTAGAGTTTATATCCTACAAACAAAAGAGCAGAGAATTGCCATTAGTAGAAATCTTTTAATTCTGTTCCCTGAAAGTAAATTCTAGAGCGATAGGTACCTTTAGGCACAGACTGACAAATGACTCTATAAGATATGAGGGAAAGGCATAACTAGAAAAACTAGCAAAATTGGAAACATCTTTCAAACTGACCTAAATTGGTCAGTAGCTGTCATAATTTCCTTGCTCCAACTATTCTTTATTAACTATTTATCTTTTATTCAGTTGAGACTTCACTACAGAAAATGAACAGAAATAAGAATAAAAGAGGAAATGTAACATGTTAATGTGCAGAACAATAATCTGTTAATGAGAACTGAAAATGCTGGCCCAATGCTATGATAGTGAGGTCTGTGTGTGACTAGCGTGTTTCACTGGTTTATGTTTTCCAGCCTACCATAATTGTGTTCTGAGTTCCAGCTTACCATAATTGTAGTCTTTGCTAGATTTGTTTGTAAATAATTACCTTACCTTGAAATACAGCAAATGTACATTACATTGTATATAGATATATAGATATACAGCAAATATACATTATAGATAAATAGATAGACGATAGATAGATAGATAGATAGATAGATAGATAGATAGATAGATAGATAGATAGATAGATAGATAGATAGATGATAGATAGATGATA